TATATATATATATATATATATATATACTTCTATTCGTGTCGTCTTGCAGGCCTTATCAGAGTTGACTCATGGACTCATCTGTTTTGTTGACGCGTTTTGGAGCATTCCTCATTAGACTGCTCAGGACACACACTCTTATACTGTAATACAACTGCAAATTGTTTGTTTTGTGTGTGTGTGTGTGGTGTAATGCAAAGGCTGGATGAATCCTCTGCAGAAATAAGCACCCACACACACACACGCGTATACCCTCTGAGTTCTCATGTGCATCTGCAGTCCTTCATGATGGTTCATGTGTTGCCAAGATGACCCTGTTATTTTTTTTATGGATCTGATGCTGTTGGGCCATCCGAGTATGTGTGTGATGAAACAAGACCTTCAGAGAGGCAGGTTGGCTGATCCCTGTGCTAAACTCTACTGGTTTTGAAGCAGATTTCATTTGATCCTGTAACATTCTGTCCTTACCATGCTACTTCTGAGAGTTAACATGGGCGGCCAAATCATTGGTTTACAGGGTACAAATAATGTTCATTTGTTAACATCAAACCTTAATTTTTTGTGACTCTAGCTGACCAATAATATGTTGTCTTTTCCGTCATCTCTCTTTGATAGTAGATGTTTTTAGTTTCAAACTTTTTTATGTACATGAACCTTTGCATGTTTTTTTTTTGTAATGAGTCAAGCACTTAGTCGGCAAACGGTTCCTGTCAGTGTCCTTCAACGGATGCCGACCTGAATGCAACTTTTTATACAGCATTTATTTTCGTTTTTCTTATACAGTGTTTTGTTGATTTGTTTCGTCACCTACCTTGTCAAGTGTTCCACTCTCTAGCGACAATCACTGGCAGAGAGTTGAGCGAGTGGACGCATCTTTAGGGGAAGCTGCTTTATCAGGTCTGAACGTCCCAGCAGACCTGATGTTTTTCACATCATCTATTTGTTGAAGAGTTAAAGCCATGCTGCCTGGCCAGTCCTTTGACATGACTCACTGAGAGCTGCTTTACTTTTGCTCTTTGTGCTTGAACGCAGGGTTCGGGATGCGTTTGTTTTTCTTTCCTTTCTGTGGGCTCATTTGAGGAGATATATCCTGCGTAATAAAATAAAATGGGGGTGAGCAGACGCCACACCCCATATAACCTGTAGTCCTTCACTCTGTACAGTTTTAAAGATAATTCTAGTGTTAAGTGCCATGTATTTGACATATACATTTCTGAAGTTAAAACTACCAAGTGACTACGCACAATTTTTAATTAGTTTATTTTCTCCTTGTTATGCCAGGGTTGTACAATTTGTCACGCAGGCACAATTTAAAACCGTGAAGGAGACATTTACCGTGTCAGTCTCCTCTCCAAAACGCCTCTTTTTCGGACCACCGTAGCGGTGGAGTTACTAATTGCTTTGCATGCAGATTAGATAGAATGAAATGTTTTAATTCGTATTGTTTGACTTTTATTTGTCACATGGTTTTAACAGTTCAAACTGCAATGATAATTGTAATCTCCAGACTTTGGGGATATTTTTGGAAGCTAATTAAAAGATGAAACGTAAAAGTTCAGCAGTGGGTTTTATCCGGTGGGGGCTTTTGTTGTTGCTTTTTCACTACCTAGTGTGGTTTTGTATAATGGGGCTTTATCTTCAGTCACTTCAATCCCAAATACACTCTCATCAAGATCACTGAATGGGGTGTGCAAACAGTAGCTATACTTTTTTTTTTTTTTTTAAACCATAACATCTACACAGACATCCCAGAATGCTCTGCTCTGATTTTGAGATTCATTCTCTGACATATCACTCCAGACAGTATTGTATTTAGTGGACAAGTCACTCTAAAGTTCAGTGTTTTCTTGTATAGCGAGCCCTCTTTCCTCTATATTGACTGTTTGTTTGACCTTTTTACTGAGGACAGGATTGCACTTTCCTTAGATGAGGAGGGTGTTCTCATTTGTAACTGATAAACGTAAATGAAGCTGAGAGATTAAAACAAATGAAGAGGAGAGAGATGGGAAAACAGCGGTAATCGTCGCCCCTCTTAAGATTGGAAAGGTTAAGTGGGTATTTGGGTGGCATCTGTTTTTGTACAACCATTTTGTGCATATTGCTTTT